AAAATTTCAGTTTAGCATCTTGAAAGTACTGTTTGCAGGGATGGTAGAGTTCTGATATATTTGTGGTGCCAGTTTTACTTTGTTGAGAAGAATTCAATGATTTTATCTGTATGAGAACTTACCATGTTTTTCTTAGGCCTAGTACCATGGAATGAATTTATCAGAATGCCCAGACTGTAAAATCACCTTGGCTGAGGATCCATGGAAAGACAGCTGACGATTTAATTCTATTATAAACAGCACATATCCTGGTGGTTTCTAATTCCACCTTGTATTCAAATCCCTTTGTTGTAATTGCTGTCATTCCCTCCTTGTTTTTCTCTAATTATTCTGACTAGAGAAAATTCTCAATTAAGCATGGACTGTGTGTTTAATCTTAGGATTTCCCAAATCCTTGTTTTAAAATTCTATCTTGTACTAAAAGATAGGCTTTATGGTAAACTAAAAAGTTCCCATTAAAATAGGCAGTTTGATATTTTTATAAAATTTTTGATGAAAAGTCTAATGTTAATACACATACAGCAAGAGTTTCTTTTTAACCATTTGTGGATGTTAAACCTTTCTCCATCAACATGTATAACTTGAAGTAAAATATCTGTAACTTGTTCTTATAATATTATAATTATTATGCTAATATATATCATTACAATGTGTGTAATCTAGGATAAATCTTGTGTTTTAAAGCTTAGTAATTACACTACACTGTATCCTCCATTGTTAATTTGCACATAGAACTTGAAAGATTTCATTGACAAGACTGAGTAGTTCTGATATACAGGAGTCCTCAAATAGACCTAGGAAATAAGCTAAAATAGAGGGCTTACAACTTCTTGGCCAGTTTGGACTACATAGTGTAATGAGATCGGAACTCAAATAAAATAAATTTGAATTTATTTATGCCAGATTGTTATATATCTAAATAAACAACAATAGGCCATGGATCTAAGCACAGCTATTCTATAAATAGATATTTTCAGAAAAATCCTAAGGTATCAGTGATTGAGGGGAAGGCGTGTAATGGGAATACTAATCTTAGCTTTAAGCTTCGCTGGCCCTGAGATGTTTTCATGTCATTGGAAAATTGCTGTTGTCCTCTATCCACCTGCCCCTGAGTTCAGGCGTCTGTACTCAACCATTTGCTACATCACTCAGAAATTGTATTCCTCCTTCCTTGTTCTCTTTTCTGGAAAACGTTGAAGCAAATGAATTCACACGGAAGTGTATGACGTTATAGACACTTGCAGCTGGCTTTCCACTCTACTGCCCTTCAAGAAACTTGGCACTGGAAAGCTAGCTCCACAAACCCAATATAATTTCAAGATACTTTAATTTCTGAAAATTGACAAAATCCAGAATATTTTGGTACAATGTATATTTATATAAAAATAAATAAGCTAAAATTCATTGGTCATTAGAGACATCAGCAGATAATGTGGGAGCTGTTTGATTCAGGTGTGATCATCCTTGTCTTAGGGTTTCTATTGCTGTAAAAAGACAACATGACCACAGCAACCCTTTTTTTAAATATACATTTTTTAATGATATTTACTGAGCTCTACATTTTTCTCTGCTCCCCTCTCTGCCTCTCCTCTCATTCCTTCAGCCCTCCCCCCACTCCCAAGGTCCCCATGCTTCCAGTTTACTCAGGAGATTTTTGTCTTTTTCTACTTTATACTTCCCATGTAGATTATATCTATGTAAGTCTCTCTTAGTGTCCTCATTGTTGTCTAAGTTCTCTGGGATTGTGATTTGTAGGCTGGCTTTCTTTGCTTTATGTTTAAAAACCACCTATGAGTGAGTACATGTGATAATTGTCTTTGTCTGTGTCTGGGTTACCTCACTCAAGATAATGTTTTGTAACTCCATCCATTTTCCTGCAAAATTCAGGCTGCCGTTATTTTTTTCTGCTGTGTAGTACTCCACTGTGTAAATATACCACATTTTCCTTATCTGTTCTTTGGTGGAGGGGAATTTAGGTTGTTTCCAGGTTCTGACTATGACAAACAAAGCTACTGTGAACATAGTTGAGCACATGTCCTTGTGGCACGATTGAGCATCCTTTGGATATATACCCAAAAGTGGTATCGCTGGGTCTTAAAGAAGGTTGTTTCCTAATTTTCTGAGAAATTGTCACACTGACATCCAAAGGGGCTGTACCAGCTTGCACTCCCACCATCAATGCAAGAGTGTTCCCTTTTCTTCACAACCTCTCCAGCATAAGTTGTCACCAGTTTTTTTGATTGTGGCCATTCTTACATGTGTGAGACAGAATCTCAGAGTTGTTTTGATTTGCATTTCTCTGATGACTAAGGATGTTGAGCATGTCCTTCAGTGTCTTTCAGCCATTTTAGATTCCTCTGTTGAGAGTTCTCTGTTTAGGTCTGTACTCCATTTTTTGTTATTGGATTATGTGATCTTTTGGTGTCCAATTTCTTGAGTTCTTTATATATTTTGGAGACAGACCTCTGTCTGATGTGGGATTAGTGAAGATCTTTTCCCATTCTGTAGGCTGTTGTTTTGGCTTGTTAACTGTGTCCTTTGCTTTACAAAAGCTTTTCAGTTTCAGGAGGTCCCATTTATTAATTGTTTATCTCAGTGTGTGTGGGACCACAGCAACTCTTATAAAGGAAAACATTTAGTTGAGCTGGTGGCTTATGCTTTCATCATTTAGTTCATTACCATCACAAGGGAAGCATGGAGGTTGGGAATATGGCAGTGTGCAGGTAGCTATGGTGCTGGAGAAATCTACATCTTGTTTGAAAGGAAACTTCTCACTGGGTGTGGCTTAAGCATATACGAGACCTCAAAGCCTGCCTCTAAAGAACACACTTCCTGCAAAACTGCACCTACTCTAGCAAGTCCATAACTCCTAATAGTGATGCTCCCTTTGGGGGCATTTTCTTTCAGACCGTCAAAATTACCATTTTTAATAATTTGATGTTAAGAGGTGACAGCCACTGATATAGGTGAATGCATTAAGCCTTAGAAGAAGCCACCACATGATAAATCTATAAATTCTTTCCATTGTGTCTCTTTGTCCACATTCTCATCTTAGAACTGTGTATTAATTTTTCCCCTTCTTTGTGTATTTTGTTCTTAAAGTCTTTCTTAATTTTTCATCTCAAGCTCTGTTTGCTTGTATTTACTTTAGCATTTGTTAGGAATTTCTCCTTTAAACTATTTTTGGGGGGTGGGGGGAGCTTGTGGTTTTGTTAATGTACTCAGTGACCAAGTTCAATAGGTTTCAGTACTTATTGCTTATCATATTGTTGCAGATCTCCTGGAAGTGAGGTAACAGATGGCAGTGAAAAAAATGTGGGTACCAGGAATTAATTCTAGGTCTTCTGCAAAACAGATTCTGGGGTTCCTACAGTTTTTATGATGAAGAATTTAAATACAAAAGGTTCCAAAAGTTTAGTTATGTTACTGGTCATGTACTAATATAAAATCCTCTTTGTGCTGAATTAAATTAACCCCCAATATCTTTTCCCACATATATATATATATATATGTGATATATATATATATATATATAGAGAGAGAGAGAGAGAGAGATGTAGTCTATTATAGCACGTTCTTTTATATATAGTGATGTAGTCTATTATAGCACATTCTTTCTGCTCATTAAAATATTTTGATGCATTTTAGAAAATGTTTAGGAATCTGTACCTTTCCTTACCATGATATGTAAGAGTTATCAGGTCTGGTCTAGGTTTAGGAAAAACAGTCCAACATTTTCCACATGGTTAGAAATTTTGATTCTTTAAAATGTCAACATCTGTAAAACTGGCTAAAAGGATGATTTCAAACCAGCTACTCTTCCAAATGGACCTCAGACAATCACATTTGATTGGAAACAAAGGTGTAATGCTTAAAGTCTCAGTCAGAAGGATTGAGGCTGTTCTGGGTATTGAACTCAGAGGAACGTCCAACAGAGGTCCTCTGAAATAATGGGTCATCTGGGCCATCTGCTCCGATCAGAGATTTTTCAGGGGGTCTTTCGTGGTCAAACCTGATTTTTCTTAACCTAGAATAAATCCACAGCCTCTCATTTCCTGTGGAAACAAAAGCTAAACCTCTTCTCCAAAGTAACGTATCTTTTGACTTAAATTTTGAAGTCAAGGCATTTTCAAAATACATATATTGGATTAATACAGCAACATTTATAATCAAATGTCTTTTAGCGACTGTTGCTTCTTCCTCAGCCATCAAACTATTCAAAGACAACACAATAAAATACAGTATCCAGATTCTCTGTATATTTTCCATCTTTACATTGCTTTATTTTAAATTCTTTTTATTTTTATTATTAATTTTGTTTTTTTTGAGACAGGGTTGAGTTTCTTTGTGTATCTTTGGCTGTACTGAAACTCACTCTGTTTACCAGGCTCTCCTTGAATTCACAGAGATCTGCCTGATTTTGCCTCCCACATGCTGAGATTAAAGGTGTGTGCCACCACACCCAACTACTCTTCCTTCCTTCCTTTTTAAAAACTTGATCCTTTTTTCTTTTTTTTCTCCCAAGTTCACATATATTTTTAAACATACTGTAATCCGTTTAGAGGTTTTCTTTGTCTGAATCTATCTTTACTGTATATCTCTCTCTTTTTCTCACCACAAGAGTCTTTAATTTGCTAAGCAATATGGCTAGAATTAAAGCCGTGGCCTTGGCAGCTGGACCCACCCCATTCCATTCTGAGAATCTAGTTTCATGATGGAGGTACTGGTGGGAGCCAGGTTTATTGCCACAACTCATGCAGTTTTAAGGTCCTTGCCACCAACCAGAAGCATGTTGTTGGTTTTCCATAAACACTACTTAAGTGTTTTGTGGCAGGGGGCCTCTAAAAGATCTGCATCCAGTTACTCCAGAAAGTCTGTTGTTTTCTGCAGTGTTGGGTATCAAATTCTGGGATTAGCCTGGGCTAGTCGAGTATTCAACCAGTCACTCCAGTCTTCCAATAGTATTTTAAAGCCCCAAAGAACAGACCAGGTTACATAAATTCCAACAAAACATGTAAGCTTTATTACAAGTGAAAGTATAAATCACAAACTAGAGTATGGAAATGAAATCATGTAGAAAGCTGGGGAAGATACACAGACACACATGGTTAGATACAGATTTGGTTGAGATTTTTTTGTTTAGTAGCCAAAAAGGATCACATATTTAATATACTTTGTTATGGAACAGACTAATATTTTGAAAAATACTGCCTAATTTGAGAGTATCAGATGGGAAAGTTTTCCAGGCATTCACAAGCTACCTGTTGATAAGAAGAGGATTTCTCAATCTGTGGAGACACTTAAAGGATGAGAGCCGCCGTTCCAAGTTCATTCAGCAGAGTTAGAAGCTAGAAAGGCTTCCTAGGCTTATGGATGTATGCAAAAAGCTGATGTTACTCTATTGTCCCCAACATATCCTAGATCTTTGAGAGGATATGATTATTTATTACAGTGCTTAAATACTATGTAGTTGTTAATAATAAAGAGAAACATACATAGATGAGCAAGTGGATGGCATGGAGCCTGTGCTGTAAATGCCCCCTAGGAGCCATCTCTCCTATGTCCTGGGTAGTTGAAGGTTGGCAGCTGTTTGAAGCAGACCTTTCACATCTGCCTTCCTGAACTCTTATGCCATTATTTTGTATCTCCTTTAGATCTATCAGCTGCCCCACTGCCAAAATGACAAGTTCACTTGCCTTTGCTACTGTCATGGATTCAGTTTTCTGGGGACCCCAGAGTGTCTGTACCTTTGATTAACTATCCGAGAAGTAAAACTAGGGGCTTTCCCAATGAGTGCCTACTGTCAAACTCAGGGAGCTATACACTGAAGATGGTTTTTCCAGGAAGGTCTAGGGTCACCTCTGAGACTCCCTAGTACTAAACACTTTTTTTTCTTATCATCAATAATTAAACCTTTGGTACCGTTCAGGTGGTCTGTAGTATTCTGCTCTCAACTGAAGTATGCAGGATTAACATAATGAAAGTTAAATTTTGTTTATGTTCAGGAAGTCAAAGAATTGTGCCAAGATCGAACAGCCAAAAATTAGGTGTGTGCTGGGCACAGTGGCACAGAGCTGTTAACTCCAGTATCTGCAAGGTGGAGAATATATCATCAGAAGTCCAAGGTCATTCTAGCTACATGGACAGTTCCACGTAGAGTTCCAGGACAGTGTTGTACTACATATGATCCCATTTCACAAAGCAAACAAACAAACAAAAACATATATATATATACATACATATATATATATATATATATGTACCTTTAGGCAAATTGGTATCTATAGAAACCTTTTTTCTTAATGTGTAAATAACATTCATCCTTCCTGACACTTCAACCATCCTATCATGGCTTTAGTTTCTTTAGTGGTAGTGATCTATTAGAGGGTAGTGGTTATTGTACTTTTAGCAACTATGTTCATTGGCTTGATAAATTAATGAAAAAAAAAACTACAGGGATAAATAACTGCAAGTTGGGAGGGAGGGAGGGAGGTGACCTTGACTGTGATGCTCTCTCTTGGGTTTGGTATTTCAGGCCTGGAGCCCTAAGGGCTCCCCACATTACCAGTCCCAATCCGCAGAACATATCACACAGTCCCTGGGTGTCACACAACTCAGGCTTTCAGCCCTCCCAAGTGCGCTCATCTTAAAGGCCGTGCTGGGTTGGACCCTTTGGTACTCATGGCATACACTGTTCTTCTTGTATAGCCATGCTGATACGTCACAGTGCCTGGAAAAGAAAAAGAGAAACAAAATGAGTGCTTATTCTGTAGTACATTTTGTATGCAGCCTCTGAGAGCTCTAGGTTTGCCTTTTACACAACTCAGCACCATGGTGCTGAGAGCCTACTTGTAGGCTACCTATATTAATTACTCGGATACCCACTTGTTTGTGGAGTAAGTACTAGTGTTATCTCCAGTTTGCAGAAGGGCTTTGAAAGGGAAAAAAAAAACAAAAACAAAAAAATCGCCAGTGTTTGACATGGGGTGGGCATAGGAGGCCGAGTGGAGGAAGTGCCTGAAGACACAGAAGAGTGTGCAGGGTTTTCTGGCTCCAGGGAAGTGATTCTCAAGCACCACACCAAACTTCCTTATCTTTAGTGTCTGCTTCAGCTCCTGCGTTTGTTTAATTGCTTTGCTTTTGAGAAAATATAGCTAGAATTTTGAAACTTACTTTGCCCAATCAGGAAAATCTAGTCTTTTCTCACACCCTCCCAAGTTTTAACTGGAGTTTGTCTTTTTTTTTCCCTTTTTATTTTTTAATATAGTACTTGTATTTACAAAGTATACAGAAAAGGGGGATTCCACAGAACACTTTTAAATAAGAAGGGAATTGTTATAGAGAGGTCAAACAAAACCACCAGCAATCACTCTGGGTGAGAGCTCAATTACAAACATAGAAGACTCCAAAGGAATTAATTTTTAATTCTCTAATCCGAGCCCTCCTAAAATGCCAAATATTCTGACATCAAAATGTTCAGATTTTACTGGTGTGCTTGACTGTTTCATAAAACTGAGTTTTGAATTTGTACGTTTCCCTTCAAAACAGAGCTCAGAAAATTAGCTTTACTACTTCAGCAATTTACTACACAGCAAATAAAAAAGCCAAAAACAGAAGCACGGTCATAAAATTAAAATTCAAGAGTACTCAAGATGACCAGTTTTCAGAGCTGTTTTCTGTCAAACCTTCCAAAGCTAGATCTCAAAAGCACGCTGGTCATAATCAGGATTGTCCTCAAGCCGTGTTCCTCACGAGCTGTCAGGTAAGAACTGACACCAGTAAGAAGGGAACAGCATCATCGCAAACTCAGAGGGGATACACAAAACGTCTAAAGACCTCAACTATAAAAAGTGAGAATGCCATTTTATTTGCCACAGAAATGAGGGAAGAAACGTCAGGGAAATAAATTTGATAACATGACTCACACTTCATTATAAGTGATTTCCCCAAATGCACAACGTTCACATTTGGCTGAACTAAAAAGAACTGAAGAAAGGAGCCTGTAAGTAGGACACTTATGTTCCTTCCCAGTGCGAAGTAAAGAACACGCTCCTGGGCTAGGTTCAGCAGTCCTCTCTCTCAGTCTGCTTTACAAGAATCATATTCCTTATAAAATATATATGAAATTTTCCTGGCTCAGTCTTAAAAGTAAAAAAATAAGGATATTCAAGTCATACTATTTAACTTTCAGTCTTTTTCTCTTGTTACTTTAGAATTTCTGTACAGTTAGTCATTTTACTAAGATTATTGTGTTCATCAAATTTAGTACCCCACAGATTTAGAGTAATGAGAACTGGGTTATTAAAAGTAATTCACGTGTGCCGGAGAACCTTACTAACAGATGACTTTGACTTAGAACATAAACACAGGTACCATATTCCACAGGCACTTAGGACTTGAGAGAATTCAGACTTAAAAAAAAAAAACCTCTAAAAAAATCAGACTTGAAATTTCTGAAATCTAATCGAACTATTTTTCCCTTTTTCCCACTTTCATATTGAGATAAGGGATGAAGTGTCAGATTAGCGCGTGGACCAATTATAAAATCATATTTTATCTTCCCCCACCCGGCCCCCGCAGTGAAACAAAAGAAACAGAAATACAAGTTTGATACTACATGCTTTCCAGGCTTAAAAGCTCTTTAATAGGCACACTACACCAGTCCTTGGTCAGGGAGGCTCACTTTTTAAATAAACATGGCCAGAAGAATGTCCTCAAATGAAGACTGAAGTCACTCTCCCTTCCCGAGAAACGGTGAGGTAAAGGGGGCAAACATGTCCCCTACTTGCACAGGACACCTCCTTTTCTCTTCCGACTTTCCGAAGAAGGTGGATGGGGGAAAAGGCAACGCTCAGTCCTCCATGGCAAAGTCTTTGGTCTTCTCCTCCTGGTCCCCCACTTTGTAGCGCAGAAGCACTCGCAGACGTCGGGGGTTGTCCCGGGAGGGCAGCAGAGTGATCTCGCCTGAAATGTCCGTATCTTGTTCCACCGGCACCGGCTCATTCAGATAGAGGAGCGCCTGCTTCCAGTGAGTGGCTGGGTGAAAAGGCGAGGTAGACAGCACTAGGGGTTTCTCCGAGTCCCCTCCAGGGAAGGTCACCTGGAACCAGACGGCAAAACCGTGCAGGGGCGCCGAGCCATAGCAGCTGCAGCGGAAGCGTCCGCCCACACCGGTCTCCAGCTCCTGCTCCAGGCCGGCGCGGGCCAGATCGAGCTGGGCAAAGCGCTGCGGCCGGGCCAACACGTCCTCGCCTGACAGCCCCTGCACCACGATCTCCGAGTGGCCCATCAGGCAGCGCGTGGCGAAGCTTTCCAGGCAGCTCATGTCTACACCGTAGTGCTGCTTCACCTGGCTCCAGAAACCCAGACGCCATTCCAGCATCTGGTCGCTAATCGGGGCCACGAAAAGCTCCGCGGAAGCGGGCAGGAGGAGGCCACCCTCCTTCAGCCATTTGGTCCGCGCGTGGAGCACGGAGCTCAGCATGGACTCGTGCAGAAGTCCGTAGCCCATCCATTCGCTCACGATGGCGTCCACCTGCTCCGGCAGCTCCACCGTTTCCACGGGGCCCGGCAGGACGTGCACGCGGTCTTCCAACCCGTTGAGCCGCACTACCTCCCGGGCCTGTTGCCAGATGGCGCTGGCCTCCACCGCGTACACGCGCCTGGCACCGGCCTGGGCACAGAAGATGCTCAGAATGCCGGTGCCCGCGCCCACGTCCAGCACGGTCTTGCCTCGCAGCGAGGCCCAGTTCCGCAGGATGCCCAGGCGGTAGGCGTCGGTGCGGACGCGGTCAGCGATCATCTCCTCGTGGACCGAGACGTCGGAGTAGCACTCGTAGTACAGCTGGTCTCGCTCGCGCTTAGTCCGCCGGGGTCGTGGCGGGGCTGCCTCCTGCTCCCCGCCATCTTCCTCCTCGGCTCCCTCCCCTCCGGCGCCGCCGCCCCCCGACTCAAGCTTTCTTTTCTTGATCAGCGACATCTTGGCCCGCCGCAGCCGGGCCCCAGCAGGCGTTGCGCGGTGGGGGTGAGCGGATCGGAGTCCCGGGGGCTGCTGGGATTTGTAGTCCCCGCCAGCCATCCCGCCTCTTGCGGGCGGAGGCTCGCCAAGAGTCTTCTTGGACTACAGGGAGTCTGCTTCCTTAACCCCTTTACAGATTCTCTAAGACCACTCTGTTATTCCGGGATTCTTTCAGTTCTTGCTCTTTCCTTTTGTCTCCCAGTCTCTTTTCGATTTCAGCCATTTTTGAAGCAGACACATCCTCTTACAACTATGTGTCTCTGCTTCCCGCATCGGATCCCCACCACTACTGAATTACGGTGACACAATTTACATCCCTTCCCTGACACTTGTAACTCATCGAGCTCTCTGCTCTAACTGGAATAAGGATACAAAGAATACGTAAGTGGGGTAAAGTGAAAACATAACAATACCAGATCTCGTCTCCGAGTCCAAAGTGATCCCCAATGGGCTGAAAGATCCAGGCCAAGTTCGTAGAACTGCTGTGGCAACAAATGTCCAATCACCCGCCATTGTGTTTCTGGAGAATAGCTTCTTTGACTTAAGTTCTATTCTGAAAATTCTATGGTTCAAACTAAAGAGCAACTAACATCAGTCATGTGATACTCTCAAATCCCAATCATTGAGTGCATAAGGTAATCAGTATATATAAACACGTACAGACACATATAAATCTATGTATGTATGCATAAATATTTTCTTGGAGAAATGAGGGAATTATCTTTTTGGCTAATCTTCCAATGCAATTCACTTTTTTGTTTGTTTGTTTGTTTTTCCAGACAGGGTTTCTCTGTGGCTTTGGAACCTGTCCAGGAACTAGCTCTTGTAGCAAGGTTGGCCTTGAACTCACAGAGGTCCGCCTGCCTCCGCCTCCTGAGTGCTGGGATTAAAAGCGTGTGCCACCACTGCCCGGCAGCAATTCACTTTTAAAACGCTGATATGTCTCCTTGAAAAGGCGGAATTGATGTCCACATTCTCAGTTATTTTAATTTTTTTCCTGTCAATCAAGCAGGAGTTATTAATCTCTTTTCATTGTCCATAACAGAAACACGATAATTTAAAAATGTGTGCTTTTGGAGCTGGAGAGATGGCTCAGTAATTTAGATCACTGGCTGCTCTTCCTGAAGATCCGGGATATACTATGTGTAACCATGTGGCTTTAACCCTAGTCCCAGGGGACCTGTTGCCCTCTTCTGACCTCCAGGAGCTCCAAGTAGGTATGTGGTGCACAGACAAACATGCAGACAAAATACTCATACCTATAAAATTCATAAGTTAAAAGGTTTTAAATGACTAAATCCTTCCTTAACAAGATTAATATTTTTTCCAAGTTTAAAAACTGATCCCACAAAAGAAAATGGGCTTTTGCTTTCCTGTGTTAAAGTACTTTTGTACACACACTAAACTTCGTGGTGATAGAATTTCTTCACCTTTTCTCTCTATTAATGTCATTAATGAAATAGGTTTATTGATGTAAAATCCTCAGCTGTACTTCTAAACTCAGGACTCTCAGTCCTGGTGGCTCATTAGAATCCTCCAAGGAACTTTATCAAAATACCTATAGCAGGGTCGACCTTGACCCAATTAAGTGAGAACCACTCAGGGGAATATCGGCATCTAGTTTTTAAAGCTCCCCGGGGAATCCGAATGTGAAAACTGGTAATTATTGCCATTTTTGATTTAATTATCTTAGTTAAATCTTATATCATTATTTTCAATAGTCAGGGCTCAGTAACCTACAACGAAAAATCCTTAAGGCAGGTATGCTTTCTTTTTGCCTCGGCTTATTCCCTTATTTGAACAAATAATGCCCAGAATAGGACATGAGCTTAGTTATAAACGTGAGACTTTTGTAGCACACATGAAGCTTTCACTTAGCGTATACTTCTCCCACGCTGTCCTCAAACTATCTTTTTCCCATTTGGATCTGTTAAGTGTTTGTTTTTTTTTAAAGTTATTTAATTAATTAATACATGGAGTTTATGTATGTGTGCATACACATAATTGCCGTGGTATCCTTGTGGAGGCCAAAGGACAGCTGTGGAAGTTGGCGCCTTCCTTACCACGTGTTGCTTGGGATCCCAAGTTTTAATTCTTGCGTTTGTGATTTCTTGTAAAAATATTCTAAACAAAATTTTGTTGGTTCATTTTCTTTTCTCTATTTTTTTTTTATTAGAAAAATCCAATTCCACTAAAGACGAGGGTGTCTTTCTAGCCTGGCAATCATTCTCTGAAGGAATTCCATTGTAGCTAGCCACACCCCTAACTAATGCATTCTTTGCATAACTTGCACAAATGAGTTTTACAAAAATCCATAAGATCACATCACTTTGAGGGGTGCAGTGGCATTTCATTTGTATTTTAATAAACAAAGCTTGCCTGAAGATCTGAGAGTAAAGCAGCCCCACTGGTCAGCCATACAGATCAGGCAGTGGTGACAAATACCTTTAATCCCAGTAGCCACACTAGTTTGCCATAGAAACCAGGCAGTGCACGCCTTTAATCCCAGAACTAGAAAGTATTAAAAAAAAAAAATGAAAGGAGACTGCTCTCACACAGTCTCATTCTGAGATTCCTGGTTGCAGGATCACCATTTCAGACTGAGGTCAAGGTAAGAGCCAGTGGCTGGCTATTTTGCTTCTCAGATCTTGAAGTTGAACCCCAATTTCTCTCTCTGAGATTTTATTAATCGCCCTTCAGAGGGGATTCCCTGTTCTCTGATTGGGATAATCAAATAACTTCAGAGAATTTCTATATCATCTGAGAGCAATATTCCAAACTTCTCGAGGGTATCAAGATATCCTGGCCTTCTAACACCAAGAGTTCTCTCCTGAATCTCATATGCACTTAGGTGTGGCCAAAGTATGGAAAAGAATCCGTCTTTATCACTTCCCATCAGTGGCCTGACTGGAATGGCCTTTCTTGTCTAATATTTTCAAATCCAAGATGCTGGTGTTTACCTTCGTAGCTTTTGATTTAACTATTTATAATTAATAAATTTACTTGTTTTCTAAGCAAGAAAAATGCTGTATGATTTGGACTTCTCTTGCAGTCCCTAGCAGAGAACAAGGACACCTGGGAATGATTCAGTGAGTGATCTTGACTGGTCTGTTATGGATAAACAATCATATCTTCATCCAGTCGAAGAACCCAAGTTTTGTTAAGTATGACAAAGTTTGTTAAGTATGTTAAGTTCCCACTGGAACACTCAGAAAAATTCAAGTATAGATTGAATTCAAGATCTTCTCAGAAATGAGAATAGTTTCATTTCCCCTTCTCCTGTAGGTCGAATGATGATAAGTCCACAAATACAAAGCATAGAGAAGAAAAGACCTGTGACACTCTCTTTGCTACATCATGGCTTGCCATAGAGAGGGAGCTCATTGCTTATTCTACCACATGGAGTAGTTTGGAGTGGGAAGGAGATCCAGATCACAACTGCCTCAGCACTGAGATGAAGGTAACTAGGAACTCTTACACTACTCCCTCATCTAAACAGGGCTTCCTTTGTAGCAGGATACCCTCACATCCATGTAGTGACAGAACCCAATTAATGTTTTTCAAACAAATGGACCTTGAAGCAATGCATTTTGACTAGCAATTAAATATAGATAAAATAGATTAGAAAATATTAAGACTATGAAATGATAAAAGCTAGCTATTGTTTCATAAAACTGGCTTTAGTTGAGGATATGATAATGTGTTCCTTGCTTTCTATTAAAGTTAAAGACTTTAACAACTGTTTACTGTTGTCCCTGACCTTTGAAATTTAAGATGGCCACATCTTCTCTTTAGGGTTGTGTGATGACTAATCACTTGACTATATCTGGAATTGAACAAAACTCAAGCATCTGAGCACACCCATGAAGGGTATTTCTAAATTGGATTGTTGAGAAGATTTACCCTTAATCTGGATCATTTAAGGTTGGAAGACCACCCTAACAACCAGGACTCACATGGTGGCAGCCCACATAAAGGGCATGGAAAATAGAATGTTTTGACGTTTGCATACTTGTTCTCAATCTGGATAGCAAGTTCATCTATCCTGTTGCTAAAACATTTCTTCATTGACAATAGAATCTACTTCTCTAGGGCTTCTACATAGGCCAAAAACCAGTTGAGACATCCTGCCCTGTGGCCTGAACAACTGCTAGATTCTAGGCATTTCAGTGAGACAGCTATTGTTGAACCAGCCAGACCTTGGCCTTGGGCCACTCTAATAAATTGTGTGTGTGTGTGTGTGTGTGTGTGTGTGTGTGTGTGTGTGTGTGT